TTTCTCCTTTTCGATTCTCTCCACACCCAAGTAAAGGGTCTCTTGGGCTTGGGGTTGTAGTTGTCGTTACTCTTATTAAATCTTTGGTTGAGCCCCTTGAGGGGTTAATTGGCGGCTGCCCTCTTCACCCGAATAGAATGCTCGTCATTATCGCTGTATCTAGACTGCAAGTTGCACCAAATAAAGCTATAGTGACCGGGCGTTCTATTCGGGGGAAGACGGTATAAATGCTCGTCATTATCGCTGTATCTAGACTGCAAGTTGCACCAAATAGAGCTATAGCGACCGGGCGTTCTATTCGGGGGAAGACGGTAGGGTTTTTGGTTGTCGCCAACGGTTCACAGTGTCTTATGCGATGTGGTTATAATGAAACGTCATTGGATAAGGAAATTGTGATGATTTTGTGATACTCATATAACAGCACCACGGTGAAAGAGAGCCTGAATTCAAAAAAATAAAAAGAGAGAGCCTGAGCCAAGATTTCAAAAAAAAAAAGAAAAAAAAGAAAAGCCAATTGGATTTCCTCCTTGATTTTCTAAGGATGACGGCCTTGAGGTGTTATTCTCGAACAGACCGGTCTCAGGTAATTCAGCGTTGCTTTATTCATCTGATTTCATCCTCGCCCGTTCTTGATTATTGATTTGGATAAACGTTTTTTATTTTTTACTGATTTGGAAAAACCTTTTTTTTTTGGGGGGGGGTGGGGTGGGGTGGGTGGGGGGGGGATAACCATTCGTTTTTAACTTGTTTTTGTTTCTTAATGTTGCTGATAATAGGGAGAAGACACAGCCCCCCTGTTTTGCCTATTATCTTTTCCCATCGTGGCTATGTTTCGGATCATCAATGTCTTCCTCGGGCTTAGCCGCCTGCGCGTGCTTCTGCTACCGATCAGTCTCTCTCTCTCTCTTTCTCTCTCTCTCTCTCCGTCTGTGTGTGTGTGTGTGTGTGTGTGTGTGTGTGTGTGTGTGTGTGTGTGTTGTCTGTTATCTTCTCCTATTGTTGTTCTTCAGGATAATCCGTGCCGTTGATGAGCTAAGGTGCGACTCATGCTGCTGCTACCGATCGCTTTCTCCCTCCCTCCCTCCATCGCTCTCCCTCTCCCTCTCCCTCTCTCTCTCTCTCTCTCTCTCTCTCTCTCTCTCTCTCTCTCTCTCTCTCTCTCTCTCTCTCTCTCTCTCCCCCCGTTGATCACTCCTCCCACGGGCAAGCGACGGATTGGGTCTCGTCTCTCTTTTTCTATCTCTCTCGACTCTTTTTCTATCTCTCTCCTCTTTTTCTATCTCTCTCCTCTCTTTTTCTATCTCTCCTCTTTTTCATAGAATCACGATGAGGGTCAGTTGTGTCCGATTATCAATAACGACACGAGAGAGAGAGAGAGAGAGAGAGAGAGAGAGAGAGAGAGAGAGAGAGAGAGAGAGAGAGAGAGAGAGTAATTGCGAGCAAATATGGGCTGAAGGCATCCGGTCGTGAGTGGGGTGGATCGCTTGAGCATGGAGGGTCATCGTTTTCCCTCGAACAGAATGCACCGTCATCGTGAATGTATACAAGCAACCTTTCCAGTCAAATGCAGTCATGATGATGGTGGGTTTGTGTTTCAGGCTTTCCGTCATCAGCTGGATGAGCTCATGCAGTAGCCAATCAACTGCCACCTGTCATAAGAGTTGTAAATAAGGAGGGTTCATTTCGTTTGACGGAAGGCAGTACTCCAAAATAGCAGCAGCATGAGTGCGCACCTAAGCGCGCGGATAGATTCCCAGCAGGGCTGCATATACCCCCCCCCCTCATGCTGCGCACCTAAGCCCGGGGATAGATTCCCTGCAGGGCTGCATATTACCCCCCCCCCCCTTCCTCTCCTACCCACCCAAATAAAAGAAAAAGTGCTCCTTACAGCTCCATGATGTTGATCTATAGCAGTGCGTAATGGATAGCAGCTGAAAGCATAGTTGCTACCATTAGGACTTCCCCGGACATATCTTACCCTACCCTACGACCAAGAACGGAGGAGACGGCCCTGTATATTTTGTCCAATGGTTTTCATTTCAAGAAGTAAGTAAAACGCGCTCCGTGTTTGAATTCTGTGGGGGACCACCGTCTAAGCCTAAGTATTTCTCAGTGACCGATASTGTACAAGTACCGTGAGGGAAAGGTGAAAGGAACCCTAAGAAAGGGAGTGAACTAGAAAACCTGAAACCCAATGCAAGCAATCAGTCCAAGGCTGAAAGATGCATCAACAATCAATGGATGATGGATCTGCAAAGGTTAATCATRGACTTTTTGGCTTCCTGAGCATTTTGTCATATTTTCATTTAAGATAAATAACAGATGCATATTATATGAACAACTACCAACTAAACTTATTTATGMCATATCTTTTTGTTGATCAACAATAATTACAACACCTGGCAAAATTTTCATGTATTTCATTCCACCTAAATATTTTTGCAATTGATTTAATTGCCCTTTTAGATGTGCTGCATCTTTTTTAGGTAAATTATGAAAAACACCTAACTTTTCTTGTGTCTCTAGAGTATATCTTGCGTCTAAAGCTTTCATAATATAATATCCGATTTCGAAACTGGGAAATTCCGCTRACGTGCCTCGATCGACACCAGAGAAAGAGGTAGGCTAGCCAAGCTATATATACTTTGCGGATAGGAAGATGATTCTCTAATAAGCCCCACTTAATTGGAGACTTAGGATTTATGTAATACTTGTGAATTGAAATATGAGTGGAATGTATTTTAAACGTTCAAATRGRTCACAGGGATCAATTTGTTCAGTGATTGTTTTTTGTTGTGCAATAGCAGAAAGCAAACTTGGATCAATTGATTTCAACAACTCTTGTTCATATTTAAGAATTTGAGAAATCTGAATTTGATCGAAATAACCTTTGACAGCCGCATAAATAACAACAACTTGCTTTTCAATCGAGATTGGACTATATTGTGGTTGTTTCAACACTTTTGTTAGTCTCCCACCACGGTTTAATAAATATTGAGTGGCAGCATCAAGATCTGAGCCAAATTGAGCAAAAGCAACTACTTCACGATATTGTGCAAGTTCTAGTTTAAGACTACCGCACACTTGTTTCACAGCTTTCAATTTAGTTGCAGAACCTACACGAGTTATAAACAATCCTACATACATTAATAGCAGGTCGGATTCGACGATAAAACAGTTTTGTTTCCAAAAAGATTTGTCCATCCGTAATGGAGATTACATTGGTAGGAATATAAGCAAATACAACTCCATCCAGCTTATGTTTCGATAACAGGTAAAGCAGTCAGACTACCTGCACCAGCTTGGTCTG